CAATGAGAGGCTATGGGGAAACCTGTTCAGCCTTCACAAGAGAAGGCTGAGTGGGGACCTGGTGACCATCTATAAACTCACTAGGGGGGACCAGAAGGGTTTGGGGGAGACCTTGTTTCCCCTAGTGTCCCTGGGATAACAAGAAATAATGGTCACAAGTTGTTGGAGAGTAGGTTCAGATTAGACATCCGTAAGAACTACGGTTCACAGTCAGGGCGGCTAGGATCTGGAACCATCTTGCAAGGGAAATGATGCTGCCTTCTACTCTGGGGGTCTTTAACTACTTCACAGTTAGGGTGGCTAGGAGCTGGAACCAACTTCCAAGGGAGGTGGTGCTGGCCCCTACCCTGGGGATCTTTAAGAAGAGGCTGGATACTTACCTGGCTGGACTCATTTGAGTCCCGTTTTTGTTTTTAGGGTGAGTTTTTTTTTGGGTTGTTCTCCCGCCCTGGCGGGGGGTCGGGCTAGAAGATCTATTAGGTCCCTTCCGACCCTGAAACTATGAAACTATAAGTGGCTCGATGCCTACATGGCTGGGGTCACTTGAGCCCAGTTTCTCTCCTGCCCAGGCAGGGGGTCGGACTTGAAGATCTACAAGGTCCCTTCTGACCCTACTTTTATGATTTTATGATTTGGTGTAATTTCAAACTAACACCTTGAAATCCAACATCATGTCTACATTTTCTGTGGAGAGTTGGTCAGTTGCAGGGTGACCTAAAAATGTTAACATACTGAAAAATGTTTTCCTCTAAGAGATTGTATTTTTAGAGACTGTATTCTAACAGCAGTGTCCAAGTTAACATGGAATGCAGGAGCTCTTTCTTCCACCGGATGGCAAGGGTCTGCAAATCTGCCTGACTTCTTTCCCAAATAGCTTTCACTTCTAATGATGCCCCCTCTTCAAGTCCAAAGGAATCATGGAACAAATAAAAGACCACTATCCTTTTCCTCCTCTTGTGTTTGTTTTTTAATACTGCATACTATTAAAAACAATTTCTTGAATGGAAACCTATGGATTAAAATCTGTTACAACTGGTATAGATCTGATATTTTGTTCTGATGGCAATTTCTCTTTGATCATGTAGTTGCAGTCTTTAATGAGAGTAATGGCTATCATCAAGTGAACGTTTCTAAAAATTGTCTCTCTATTGGGTCTCATCCAAACTTGGTGGCTTAGTTACTCTAAGTTCATATTTCCTGAAATGTTATGTTCTTGTAGCCATTTAAAAGCGTTGGTCAGGTTTTCTATGAAAAATAAACATCACATAAGAAATATTGTTATTGCATAGTTTAGTTCTGAAAAGTTTGTCACCATGTGAAAGTATGGGTTTTTATGTAGTGAGTACACGACTAAATCTATTGTAGAAAATGTAATTCCTCAGTGTTATTGCAGCCATTATGGGCAGTTGTATATACTACATTTAAAAAGGAAATGGGTTTTGTTTTTTCAGATGGTCCTCGGCCATCACAGAAAGAAATCATATCGTTACGGGCATTTATGCTTCTGTTTTTGAAACAACTTATATTGAAGGTAAAAATAATGAATTTTAGAATGTTAATAATTAGATAAATACAACAGACTTGAAGGCCTAAGTTAATAGTTTATATGACAGTACTAGATATGTAACTTCTTGGACAATTTTACCGAAATTTGGTTAATGCTAATTTTAGTCTATTTATGTCAAGGGGGGGTAGGAACAGTCTAGCTTAGTGTATTAATATATAGATTTTGTGCTACGTGTGGCCTGGTAAGTAAGAGAGGGCACTCAAAGTCTTAATTTTTACCTGGGCCTAACTCTTGGCCTGAGGGTGGCCAAGCCTTGGCAGGTGTGTACAAATGGCACTAGCAGCCTCTGGGTATGGCACACAGCTAATTGAAGATGGGGCAGGCAGTACAATGGAAGATAGGCTGGAAGTAGAGCAGCAAATCGGTTAGTAGAGAGCAGAGTGGCATATGGGATACGTGAAGTGGAGTTAGAGTGCCTTTCAGGGAGGGTGTGGAGCTCATTTGTGGCAAGGGAACCAAAAAGTTTGGCCTCCCATGGGTTAGTCTGCTGTTATCTGTATCATCTGATGCTGATCTGAGGGATCATCTCTCATTTTTTCTTGCATTTTTCATCAGCCCTTGCATCAGAATCCCTGGGAGTCTACAGTGTTAACTTTGTTCCCACACTAATGACTTCTCCCACAGTAGTGGGATCCTGCATTTTGGAGAGAGGGATTTTTTCAGGGCCAAAATGATAGGTAGGGATACAGTAAAGGAGACCAGCTAATCCTTTCACTTCAACAGGTACTTTTTTGAAGCGATTATTCAAGATATTTCTAGTTTTACAGTATAATTTGAAAAGAGATTCCATAATTAATAGTTTTACTGAGCAGAGTATAAGGAATTTAAGCTCTCTGAAGAAATATCCATTCTTTTTTAGGATCGAGGAGTCAAAGAAGATGAACTGCAGAGTATATTAAATTACTTATTAACAATGCACGAGGTACATTTCTCTAATTACTTGTCTTTACTGTAATTTGTACCAAATTTATGGAAAGCAGGCAGTTAAGATTAGTTTGTAAAATGATTTTGATGCTTGTCTCACAGGATGAAAATATTCATGATGTTCTTCAACTGCTAGTAGCTCTAATGTCAGAACATCCAGCATCTATGATACCGGCCTTTGATCAAAGAAATGGGATACGGTAAGATGGAGAAGTGAGAATATGATTTGAAACAAATCTCCCCCGTGTTGCCTCCCTTCAAACTATTTCCTTTCCTCTAAAATAGCATGTGAAATTACTTTTCTCTAGGAGTACAAACATTTTTCTGGAAAGACCTAATCCTGGCATTTTAATCTTGCCAGAAGATGTAAGTTTTTATCACATTTCATGAGTATGTTTTAAATGAGAACTTCCTGTGGGCTTTTTATTTATGAAACCAGATTTGTTTAGGAATAAGTATATATTTTTTAAAAATTCAAGTTGAGATTCAAATATGATACACTGTTTACAAGATGCATTTCAAAAACTAGATATGTGAATGGTGGTTCCCTTTTCTGATTCCTAAAGATTATTTTTAGATATTTTTGTAAATTGACAGAAGCATTTTTATGGACTAAAGCCACTGAAATTTTCTCTGGAAATTTAAGACGCATGTTCAAACATTATATATGTTACAGTAATTTAGAACGAAAGACAGTAGGAGAAACTCTGCTGCTTTAGTATTTTTTTTGTCTAATAAAATAACAAAATGTTTGATGCTTTTAAAGCAAGATATACTGTGTCCATTGAATAGTTAATACAGGTTACTTATTTGTGATATTCTGAAAAATATTTTCATTATGATTGAGATACTGTATAATTTTTTTGAAAATATTTACCTGGGCAATTCAAACAGTGGCTTCAATAGAATATTTACATTGTAATCTTTATTTATCAACCTAATTAACAATGCCTGTTGAAACAAAGCATTTTGCTTTCTGTCTTGCTGTTCATTCACTGTTAGTAGTCCTTTTTTGGCTCAGTTGCAACTACTTGCCAAGAAAAATTGTCTATATGGCGATATGGGAAAGGGCTAGCAGCTAATCTGTTGGCTTTAAGAGCTATTTAAATGGCCAGAGAAATATTGATTGTGGGGAAGATAGAGAATAAAAGAAAATAATGGAACATCCAATTAATAGACTGTGATTTAGGTGACTTGCAAATGCAGTTCTTGAGTGGTGTTTTCATTTACCCTGGAGAATGGGGGGTTAGTGAGTCTGGTATGAATCTGACTTGAAACTTCAATACTTTTAATCCCAATACTTTATATTATTGGAACTGAATATACATTTGAAAACTAATCAGAAAAGAAAGAAATTAAAATGACATTTTTGGTGATTTGCCTTGTCACCCTGCAATTGCGTGTTTATTCCCCAAGTCTAGGGACCAACATTACACACAAACAGGTTTAAGTGATCCGAAACTGGGTTAAACCTGTAACAGAACAGATATTCAGTGCATATAAACCAGTTTGAAAATGGGTGAAACTGGTTTGAAATATACCTGGTTGAATGTAGTATCAGACCTAACTTATTTGGGTCAAATCAGTTTATGCAACATCTGTCCCAGACCCCTTGCTGGTTTAAGGTAATCAGAGTCCCCCAGCATCCTGGCATGCACTCTGGGCTTGGTGGGGTTCTCTGCTCCACAGCAGGGCTAGCCCCTCCCCTCTGCTCCCTGGCTGGAGCTCTGCACAGACTTGCAGGGTCTGTTGGGTTCCCCGTGCCCCCCTCCCCGACCCCTCTCACCACTGGCTGCTTAAGCAGAATTCCCTTCCTCCTCTCTGCCGCAGCAGGGATCATAGCCAGCATGTGGTATGCTAGCTAATGCCAAGAGGTGTCTGTGTGTACATCTCTCTCAAATTTCACTGGGGCGGGCAGGCAGACAGAACAGTGACTGCTTAGGGCTTTGGGAGCTAATCAACAGGTCAGCTGGTAAGCTGTTTAGGAGGTTTGAAATAATGTGGAGAAGCTACTGTTTTGCTAATCAGGTGATAAAGATTGTTATCAGCCCCTCCTCCCCCCCAGCTGGCTTGCTTGTCTGTCAGTTTGCTGCAGACAATATGAGGAAGCAGGAAGGAAGATTGAAAAGCTCCATATCATCAACAGAGGCATGCACTGCACACACACCCTTGCCTCAGAGTGCTAGCCCAGGGCTGGGGCTGGCAACACTCCCACCCCTTGAGCAGCCAATGGGGAAAAGCCTGGGACTGTGCAGGCAGAAATCCCTAATGAGAGAGTCCTGCCAGGGCCTGGCCAGACCCGCCTCAGCTCAGCTCCCTGCAGAAGGGAAGAGAGAGCTGCTCTAGTACCTCCTTGCTTCTAGCCTGAGCCACTGCAGGCATGTGCCTGAATTTCCTCAGTACAGAGAGAATGTCTGGCCAGTTTCAAACCAGGTCAACCTACCCAGGTTAGATTCACCTGCAAAGATTGAATCAATTGAGGCTTCGGCTTTATGAATGTCTGTCCATAGCCCAACAGTTCAGATGAAAATGACTAAGGTTTTGTGAAAAGATCAGGTTATAAGAAAGCCCACATACTTTTTCTGGCTTTAATTATTTACTTTATCCTTATCAGAATTGTTATATATAAACTGTGCTTGGATAATGAGTTTTCCTCTTCCTAAAAATCATTCTTGATTACAAATGATAAACTAAGGATGTTAAATAATATCTAGTAATAATAAATGTTGTCAAGGTGGTAGGCCCAGATAACTTCTATGCAAAAGTCTAGAACTGTCAGCTAAAGAGGTTGTTGACTTCCTGATGTAAGTTCTTAATACACATATGGAATTTACAGGAGAGTGGAAGAGTTCTGATATCATCTCAGTATTCAAAAAGGGCAAGCAGGATGAGCCTGAATAGTTATAAATTATAGTTAACTTTTGACACCAATCCTGGGCAAAATAATATTAAAGCTGATAAAGAATATAATTAATAAAGGATTAGAAGGATTATAATGGGATTATAATCATATTTCAGTTACCATGGTTTTATGGAAAACAAGTAATCTAATTTCTAATCAGATTACAAATTTGGTTGATAATGGCAACTATAGATGTAATGCATTTAGTCCTTTTCATATTATGTTTGACTTGGTATGCCTCAATATTCTTTTTTTCTAGAAAAATAACACTTTACAGTGCTAGTAAAGCACTTCTTAAAGGTGTTAAGAACTAAATAAATGACAATTTTCAGATAATAGTCAATTGAGGAATTATCAAATAAGATTATTTTTAGTGGAAGGATTTCACAGGTCAGTTCTTGGTCTAACAACACGATCTTCATCAGTGATCTGGAAGTAAAATATGGAAAAGTTATCATATAATCAAAGGTGGATAATGTGAAAATCAATACATTTGTCATTACTGATGATAACACGACAGTCATACAGAGCAATTCAGATTACTTGGTAAGATGTGCTCTTTGAAACATTTCATTTTAATACAGTCAAATCCAAAGTTATACATCTGAAAACAAGGCAATGTCTATGGAATGGGGAGATGTGTTGTGAAAAGTGGTCACTGAGAAGGATCATATTAAGCAAGCAACTGAACATGAGCTCTTAATTCAGTGTTTTGCCAAAAAACTACTGCAGTCCTTAGAAGTAAAAAACAGGGAGGTAATGAGCTGACATAGAGTAGTGTTTTTTACCTCCATATACAACAAAGGTTATACAAATTCGAGAACACCCTGTCCAGGTCTTATGTTCAGAGATGTTGAAAAATTTAAGAGGGTGCAAAAGAGACATGCATAGTGCAAGAGTTGAATAAAATGCTTTAGAGCAGGGGTTTTTAACCTTTTTTAAATGTGTACCCCCGGTAGCTGGACACAGAGCCGGGGGTGGGGGGGTGGGCAGAGGTGGCACACAGCTAAATGTGGACTGGCGGCAGCACAGGGTGGCAGGTGGTGGCAGCGGCTGCTGCATGCAAACTCCTCCTCCCCCATCCCCACGCCTGGCTGGCTGGGCAGCACCTGTGCGGCCTGTAGAGGGGTGCCATTGCCCTTGCACTCCGCACCTCTGTTCCTGGGAGGTGACAGCATGGGGTGGTGGGTGGAGGCACTCCATCCCCGCCCGTGCTCACCCCTGGGGCCTTCCCAAGTACCTCTGGAGGTACGCATACCCCCGGTTGACAACCCCTTCCTTATAGCGAGAGACAGCATTCAGTCTATTCAACTTGTCAAAAGGAAGCTTCAGAGATGACTTGATTATAGTACAAGTACTTTAATGAGGATATAAAATGTTTGAATAACAAGAACAAATGATTGGATGCTGAAGGTGGACAAATTTTAAATTAGAATCAAGGTAGACATTTTCAGGTATGGGCAAGAAACCATCAAGGAAAGTGGTAGATGGTTCCATCTTTTGATGTCTTCACATAAAGTCTTGGGCTTTTGGCAAATGTTAAGACCATAATGGAACACATGCTTGGCAGGTCCTGCAGTTCTAGGAATGGGGCAAGCAAATCCACATATTGTGTGACTGCCAGCTCCCAATGTGTTGGAAGAGGAAGAGGCAGGGGGACACCCACAGCTGAGGAGCGGGAAGCTCCCAGTTCCTCAACTGTATCCATCTTCTGAATGTGGAAGTGGCAGCTAGGGAGCCAGGAACTCCCCACTGCTCCTCTCCCCCCTCCCCAAGCATTCCTTCCACAAGTTCCTGGGAACATAGAAAAGATGACATGCAGCTGGGGCTTTCAGCTGCACGTCCACTTTTTAAAGGTCTGGGGTGCCATAAGCCCAACATTGGGAAGCCTTTCCCTGACATCAGACCCACAGTGCCATAGAACTTTTAAAAAGCAGGCATAAATTTGGGAGCCCCAGCTGAATGCTTATCTACTTTTTCAAGTTCCCTAGGCACTGTAAACACAACATCCCCCCCAAACCCTGCTGCTAGTGGGAAATCTCCCTCATCCCCAGCTGCTAGTGCTGGACAGCTCTTTAATTGGGCAAGTACGGCTATGTATGGGCACTTTTCCCTATTCCCCACTGCACATCAAATCCCTCTTTAAATTGGCATGAGCAGCAAGGGATGGGAGAAACTCCTGGTCTCAAGTTACAGACTCGGCCTCCTGTGGGGGTAGAGCAGGGAGCTGCCCCCAGCCTGATCCCATCAATTGGGCAGGGGTAACCCTGTCCCAGACCCCTGGGCTGCCTTGTACTGGACCCCAACACTCTGCTGAGTTTCAGGATTCAGCATTGGGCAGTTCCAGTCCTGGTTTAGAACCAAGGCTGTCCTCTTTGTTATCCTCAGGATCAAGAAGGGGAGGGCTATGTGCCCAAGCCTGGAACTGCCACAGATCAAAACCGGACCTGGCACCATAAATTTCAGGGGCTGAAGGGCAAGGTTCTGGTGCCAGGCAGCACTGGGACCAGGGCAGCCCCCAGCCAGGTTCTTGACCTGAGACTGCCCATGTTTCGATCTGACCATCAGCTGATTGTCTGCATCAGGTTGATGAGGCATGGCATGTGTTCAGTTTATGGCTCCATATAAACCACCCACAAAAATGTTACACATTTGCTGAGTAATATCTTTGTGGCTGGTTTGCCATTTTATGATGCCGTAAATTTGATGAATGTGTGGCATGTTGCTATTTATGAAGTGATTAACACATTACTCATACCAGACATACAACATGTGCCAGGGGCCTTGAGTGCCTTTCTGATGTCTTAGTTGGGCATAAGCTGTTAGCTCAATAGAGAGAAAACTAAGTAAAATTCTGTGTCTTGCATTTTCCAGGATGTCAGACTTGATAACCTAGTAATTCCTTTAGGCCTTGAATACTAGGTATCTATGAAAACATGGTTATAGATTTGCATACATAGGTCACCCTTGTGTCCATTTTGCTTTAATTACATTGTTGCTTTAGAGTTTGTACAACTTCCTGGTGTACATGTCCCATCCACAGTTTGACTGACAAGTAGCTGAACTCCCTTGCTGGGCTGAAACAAGGAGGCTATTACTAAAAAAACTGCATGAGATACCAATCTGGGGGGAAAAAGAAATGAAATGATTTGAGTAAGGGAAGTAATAAGAAATGCCTCCAGGCTGGGGGAGTACGATGTGTTTCTAGGAAGGTAGAGGAGGTACTGTTAAGTCCTCAGTGTCCCAAGAGACTCCTGAATTTGGCCCTGGTTAAATGAATGGCTCAATTTGCTATATTAGCAAGTTTTCTTGAGCTAACAGTATTCAAAGAGTGTAAGAGTTGTCATTTTGGTTGCATGCTCTGACTGGAGTGTTGGGAGAAGAAAACAGCTTTGTGTTAATGGAATCCAAGATAAAACTGAAAGAGACCTTGTTTGTTTGTTTGGAGCACTAATCAAGGGAAGACAGGCCACTTTTGATTTTTTATTGTGGCTGAAACTGAAAATTTCTTGTCTGTTTCAGATGTGCCTTGAAAGGGTTTCTGGCCCAACCCTCAGCAGTGCCTGGTGATCCCAGTTCATTCCCTTAAACTTTGTTTTAAATGTTACTGTTTTAACTTTGTTTACTTGCTTTTTTGTTTAATTTCACAGTAGTGTAGATGATGATATGGAAATGCATGATATGTAGTAGTAAGCTGGTGGAACATGCTAAATTTGTCTTTCTTTTTAGAGTAATTTATAAATTATTGGCTTCCAAAAGTGAAAGTATCTGGGTACAAGCTCTGAAGGTATTGGGATATTTCCTCAAACACCTCGGTCACAAGTAAGTATTTTCTCTGAAGTGTTTATAATGGCATGGTGTGGTGATGATTTTTTTTGTCTTGTTATATTCACTTAAAACTACAAGACATATTGTCTAGAATGTATTTGGAATGCTTTATCCAGATGGTTTTTGAAGAGTAATTTACAGATTTTGTTATTTTTCTATGCATATTGGGAAAATATTGTTAACTGTTAAATAGATGTATTCAGTGAAAATAATATTTAAAATGATCTAAAAAATAGATAATGTTTTTAAATTGAATATATTGTGCTATAAAACTCTGAGAATGCTTATATATGAAACAATGTCAGATTGTGTCATTTGTCATAATGCCAGTCATTTGCAAATTCAGTATCATTACAAGAAAATATCAAGGCCCTCTGTCATACAGGATTTTTGAAAATGAAGATGGGAACACATGCAGCAGAGGAATAATACAATGTTTTCCCATAGACGCTAGTTATAGCTACTGAAAAATATGTAGAAGGAACTCCAAGTGAATTATATAAATGATTACAAACATTAAACCTGAAACTGAGATGTAAAATATGAAAATATATGCATCAATGATATTCAGAATGTCAGTACCTTGTTAGACACGTTATTGTCTCATTTTTCAAAGTCACTTATTTTTATTATGCTATTTTATGTTGCCTTACATTTTCAAAATGCTGTCCAAATAGTGATAGATTAATCCTCAGTCCTTCTATGAGACTGGATAAGTTATTAACCTTGTTTTACAAATGATGGAATTGAGACAGAGGTTAAATAAGTTACATGGAGCCGCACAGGTGCATTATTGAAAAAAGTTAGCTAGTATTAAATCTCAAATGTCTTGCACCATGCCCCTTGCTTAGTTGACTAGATTAACCTGCCTTCCCTTTCATTGAAGTAGTCACAGCCATACTAATGACAGGAGTTGGCAAACTTTTGTTGCTGCAGGCCAAAGTCCATGACCTGGCCCCCAGAGAGATCTAGCTGTCTGTGCTTACCCTAACTAGAGAGACCCCGCTGCTCTGCAGTGAGGGCTGCAGAAGAGAGTGCTACAGAAATGATGGGTGAGCTTGCTGTGAATTTGTCCAGTGTGAAGTGGACTGAAGGCGGTTGCGGGTAGCTAGCTTCCAGATGGCGATGGACACAGTCCTGGAACAGGGCTTGGATTAGATGGACCTCCTGAAGTCCCTTCCAGACTTACTTTTCTGAGATTCAGTTCTCTGGGCCTCCAAAGCCATAGTGCTACCGTGGGCTAAGATAAATATTCCTTGTCTTAGCCCATGATGAACCTTGGTTTCACCGATTAACCTTTTACCTTTAAATCTTCTCCTTGCCCATACCACAATCACAAATCCCTATACATTCTGCTTAAGTAGTCCAGCAAGAAGCAGCACCATGGTGAAAGAAAACATGGGACAAGTGAGTGAAACCATGTAAGGTTAACCCATATTGTAAAATACAGTAGGGCTGTGATAAGGGATCATGGAAATGAAGTAGTTTGGAGTAGGAAAAAAGGCTGATAATAAATAAACAGCTTCCTCCTCAGTTGCCACCATAAAATACACAAATGTATACCCAGATAGGGTTTTGATTCTCTAATTTTATGTAAAAATATATTTAGAATAATCTCTACCAGTATAAATCAATCATTCACACATATTTTCCCAAACATGACACAATACACTTCAGAGAGATTATTTGCAATTCTGCTTTACACACCAGCATGCAATCTTCGGAAAAGCTACAGTCAAAGTAATTTACAACAGCTGCACCAACCACACATTAATAATCATAATGCATAACTAAAAACCATTTAATATTGCCAAAGTTCAAAAGTGCCTCATGGCTATTAAAGAGTAGGTTGAGGGAATTAATTCTGAGAAGGAGAGCTAATGGATGAGTGGAATGTAGTTGCAACATTCAGCTCGCATTGGTGAGCTACTATATTTACTTGCATGCCACACTCACTTCTCCCCCCTCCAAATTTAGCCATGCACAATTGGAGTGTATGTTTTAAATGGGGAAGCTGATTCTCTATGCTGGAATGGAAGCATGGAGCCACTGTAAAATGGCTGTCTTGATTCTCCCCCCTGTCAGCCTTTGTGGGGGAAGGAGGAAGAAGTTCACTCTTCAGCATCAGAGCTACAGTGTTAACCTTTTCACAGCTACTGCTGAATTGGCAGTAGCTGGTGGCTAAGCAACCAACAATTGCTGCCAATTCACCAGTGACTGTGAGAGGGTTAACACGTAAGCCTTTACCTGAGGGGCATACATCAGGATTCATCCCTGCAGTTGGGTTCCCTCCCCTGCAGGCAAAATTCACCCATGACTCTGGAAAAATCTTTCTTCATGCTGCTTTCCCAAAACGAGGTACCTTGTTTGTTTTATTTGGAGTGTCTCAACTGGGGACATGTGGTGCGTAAGACACTGATGTTTACTCTGGCCTCCTTAAGGATAAGAAAGTTGTTTTCTTCCTTTTCCTCCTTTTGCTTTTCCCCTTCTAAGCAGCATATAGTGTGCTTATTAGGCAGTCAGCAAATTACTTGACATGGAGCATGGGCTGTTAATCCTAACTTTGCTTTGTCAGTACTGTGTTGTTAGCCACTGTGCAAACTAACTAGTGTCAAGGCTGCTATTATAAGCAAGGAGCTCTAAATAAAAGCGTAAGGAGCCTTCATGAAGGGTGAACAGAGGAGCACAGTCTTTGAGTAACAATATAACAAATATCAATTATGTAGTGAAAGTTGAGAGTGGACTCTTCCCCTACAAAATAAGTCACCCTTAAAGCAGCTAAAGCAGTGTCTAATATTGAGATCAATGAGATTTGGTAAATGGTAAATGCCAATGGCATGATTTTAATGTCTTCTCACATAATGTGGGGGTACCTTAGGTGGCTTACACTGACCTTAGATTTTGAGTTCTTGGTTAATATTTGTTTCGGCAATTTTAAGTTGCACAAATCAGACGATTTATCAGTGCATTTACAGCCATGAATTTTCCACTTAGTATGTACATATCACAATAGCCAAACTGCATAAAAATATTCCTGTAAGACATTTTAATTCATGATTGTAGTGATCTATCTTTTTTTTTTTTCTTCATTATGGTAATTTTCCTGTCACAGTGGTTTAATGTGCTTTTATTACATTTCAGTTAGACTTCCTCTCTCTAAAGGGGTTTAGGTATATTAGCAGTTTTTGTAAATACCCATGTGCTGTGCCTTATCTTTGAGAAGCATCACAGCCTTCTTTGGAAGAAGTACAGGGAATGAGCCAATAAAAGTTAGCTTTTAAACACATAGGCTAGGGACAGAAATTACACATAAACCAATAGAAGTGATCAGAAACCAGTTCATATCTGTAACACAACAGTTACTGCTTTTTATGTGAAAGCACACAAACTGCTTTCAGAATGGCTAAAACCAGTTTAATATAATCCTGGATGGATATAGTACCAGGCTTAACTGATTTAGGTTAAATCGCTTTATTGAACTTGTGTCCCAGATCCCCTCCCGATTCAAGTTAACTCACAGTGCCCCAGCATCCCAGGATGCTTTGCACCTCCCCCCCACAAACATCCGCCCCTTGCTCACAGGCTGGGCATGCTAGCGTTGGTTCAAACTGTCCACTCTGGCTGAGCAAGGAGGCCTGCTCTAGGACCCTCCAGCTTCTGGCCTGGGTCACTGCAGGCCTGTGGCTGCATTTTCTGAATCAAAAGTGAATGTTTGTTCACTTGCTTATCTGTTCAATATAAACAGTTTAAGACGAACCTGCAAAGATTGAATCAATTCAGGCTTTTCTACTGTCTTTACTTAGCCATATAGTCAATATATTTCTAGCAAGTTTTATTTTTAACTTGTAGTACATTGTGTTTTTCTGTGTATTTCTCATATAAATGAGTCTTAGGCTGTAATTATTTGACTAAAACCTATATTGTAAACAGTGCATACAAGAGGACAGAGCTAACGTTGTATTTTTGACTCCCTTGAAAGCTTACCCCACATCTTTACTATTCATAAGGACATTTAGATTTTTAAAAATCATCTGGAGAAAGTAGTAACATAGAAACATATCTCTTGGTTTCAAAATTCTCTTACAAAAAATGGTAAGCCTTTGTGCATTTCACAATCTGGAACTGGTTGCAAAGATGCCATGAGAATATCTTGTTCTACTTGTCTGGAGTTTCATAAGAGAGACTCACAAAAACCTCTCTCTTCTGCTAAGAACTTCAGATGTGATAATCATTCTGCATCTATTACATACCATGTTGATTCATGTTGTACTTGCTTCTGTATATAAATTGTTAATGCTTCTGAATAGGGAATTTTGTACTTCATTTTCTGCTTTTTTTATTGTACTTTGAACATTTTCAACAATATAAACAGGGCTGTCCAGGTTCTAAGGGGCAGAGGGCTGCATACCTGTGGGCTGCATCAGGGTGAGCCATGGGAACCCTGGGCTACATGCTGTGGACTGCACCACTCCACCACTTCTCTGCACTGCACAGCTCTGGGCTCATTCTCTGTAATAAGTTATTCAGGAACCGAAGCTTCTTTCTTCTCTCCATTTTTAATGTTCTACTTTGTTCTAGCCTTTATTGCTAATATATTAAGATAGAGTATGATTCAGCTGGAATTTTACCTGTGTGAACCAGTGTGATTTCCCATGCCAGCTGTTCTTCCTTCAAACAATATCACTATTTTTTAATTCATATTAAAGAACGCTAAGAGTATATACTGATGACGGTAATGAACACCATAAATGTAAAAGTAAGTTTCATGGGAGATTTCTGGAAAGCATAATACTAAACCCAGTTAAGGGAAGATAGAATTTCATATTTCTTACTGGTTACCCATCTGCCCAGTATAAGGATGACATTGACAGATTGGGGAAGGTTATAGGGTGTGATTCTCTACCAGGGTGATGTGAAATCCTTTTAAGGGTGTTTCACGGTGCTGCACAATATTAACACTATTAGGTTTGGAGACACCTACATGATTCGCAGGATATATATAAAGATTTTAAATAATAATTCATAGGCCCCTTCTATACATTACATATATCACACAATTATTGGGTTAATTGTGCAATTGATTTAAACTGACTACACGTGCACATTAACTATTGTGCCATAAAAGATCCAACCAGCTGTAAAGTTCTTGTTGGACAATGTGTAATAGCTGGTTGCTATCTAGCTTTAGTTTGTAAGTGTAGTTTATAAGGGTCTGTCCCTGTGACTGGAAGCCCTTTCAGCTGACCAGGCTCCCAACCCCAATGGATGCTCCATGCACAGCCAGGTCTGGGAGTCCTGTAGCTGAGGGGACTCATAACCCTGGCAGTGCGGAGCAGCTGGGGACTCTGGGTCCCATGGCTGTGGATGCTGGGTCCCCTGGTGTGCTGCTGCAATCTCCCAGCACTGGGGATGTGTGTGGTACCCTATAGCTGGGATATTGCAGCAACTGTGGTCTCTCAGCTGTGGGGGTGTATGAGGTGCCCCACACCTGGGAGCCTTGTTGCCTGAGAGGGCTCCCAGGCAAGGGATCTTGCTTCTGGATGGTTCAGGGGTAGCCTGGGATTGGACTGCTTTTGCACCAGCAGTGAGACGCAATTAATGTACAGTCCCACAAGCATATGTCCTGCTTGTGGCGTGGCAGGAGAGAGGTGATTCTGTAGACTGTGCATTTGATCCCTTCACGCCTTTATCTGCAAGTGTAGAGGGGCTCATAATGTCTAAAACATTCTGTCCTGTTGTGGTCTTTCTGAGTTCTTTGCAATAGAAGACTTGCTCCATTATTTTTCTGTAGTGAAAAAAATGAATAAAATTTGTTTTTGAAATGGTATGTTGCCAATTCAGAAAATTTATGGAAGGGTGCCATGATCCTAAAAAGATTGAGAACCAGTGGAGTATAGGGTTAGCTCTGTTTGTAATTCTTCTGTAATGAACAGCTTTGAGGACCAGAAGGTCTGCTAGTTTTTACATGTAGGAGCCTATGTAAAATACAAAACTCTCTTCTGACAGCCAATCTGTATTGTCAGAACTTGCATAAATTGTCAGAAATGAATTTAAAAATTTTCAGTAATATATAACAACAAATGAAAGTCCTAATGTTATAGAAGTCTGTTTGACTTAAAATGTTTTTAGTAGAATGATAGGTCTGCATCTACCTAAAATCTTTAGCATGTTTTAAGGCCTATATTTTTTGTTCTCTCCCCCAGACGGAAGGTTGAAATCATGCATACCCACAGTCTTTTCACACTTCTTGGAGAGAGGTTGATGCTGCATACAAATACGGTGACGGTTACAACATATAACACGCTTTATGAGGTACAAACTTCTAACATCTATGCAAATTATATCCTCATGCAAAAATGAGTGGTTAGAAATATGATTCTATATTTAAAAAATCCTAACTTTCTAGTCACTGTGATTACATTAGAAACTGAAATGTTAATATTCTTTTGAACCATGTATTGTCCAGGTTTATTTAGATTTTTCATTACCACTGTTAACACTGTATGCAAAGTTTTATAAAAAAGTTGCAAAATCCTAATAACATTAGAGAGGGAGCTAGAAAAAATCCCTCTATATAAGTTTTTATACCTTCAGCAACAAAACATTATTGGAAGCTTGTGACATTTGGTTGTGTTGCATATCCTTAAAATTAAGTATGGGGAAAACGCTGGAGCCAGAGAGAGCATTTTTACTTGTTCCTTTTCTGTTTTTAAATGTGAAATGGAATTAGTATGGGATTAGTATGTTTATAAACTATTGAAATGGCTATTTCCCTTCTTTAGTTGGCAATGTTGCCAGTTTACCAAAATAATAAATGAACACAAACACTCTTCTTGTTTTAAGTCAAACATCTTGACTGATATTTAGGATGCATCTTGAGGATGCATCTTGAGGGTTACCTGTCTTTAACCAGATGCACACAAGCTCCTGTTTCTGTTTATATACTTTGAGGCCTGCAGCACAAACCTCCATATGATGCTTCCTATTCCTTGAGGAGACACTTTCCTGGAATCAGTCTCCAAATCACATGTCTTCCTATGCTTTGCCATAATCAGTGGGCAAAACAAATAGATGTGAGGTAGAAGCTAAGAGCTGGAAGTTCTGGGAGTGCTGCTGGTGGGCCTTCGTGGACTTCTAGCCTGAAGTACATGAGTGAGTTCTAAATGGATTTACAGGGAAGAGCAGAATAAGGCAGGCTTGACCTTAGACCCTTAAGTTTGGCAGAACTTTTGGGGATAGACTGGATTACAGCTAAGGACCAAAATTGAAGGATTCAAATGTCAGTGGTCTGCAAGTATAGCTTTGTAGCGGCCTTAAGGTTGGCTTATACTAAAAAGGTCTAGCCACGCCCTGTGTGACATCTAGGAATTTTGTCTCTGTTTTTCCATCTTAAAAATGAGAAAATATCTTTCTTTGACCGCGCGCGCGTGTGTGTGTGTGTATAAAAACACACACAAAGTCATTATATAGAAAGGAACATATTGTTATGCATGTGCCCATTGCATTTATGTTCAGATTCTTTTGGTCAGCAATGTATCTTCATGCCTCTGCAGATATAAAGAGCCTATGCAGGGTCTTCAGCATCTTCCCCTTGTGGCTAAGAGATGGAACTTTAGATCTCTGAGCCTTGTAGTGCATTGCATGGCTTTTTTCTTTCAGAAGTAAATACTTAAGTATTTAGTTCACAGTGGTTGGATTTGCAGTGAAATTTTGATAATTTCCTTTCTCCCTTTTGGCAATAAAGTAGTTGATTTTTTTGTGGCGAGGTGCTCTTGGTGCTGTTTTCAGTTACTATGACTAAGTCCAAAGGCTTCAAAAACTGTTCTTTATACAACAAGTCTATTTCCTGTTTTTAAGGATGGGTATACCAAAGGCTAGTTTTGTCTAATAATGGGGCATGCTATGAAGAGAGATACCATTTGTAAATAGTGTTTTAGGAGAACCCACAGCGCTCAGGAATCTGTTGAAAATTGTATTTTGGAGAGATGTATGCATCCCTTTGCTAATCTGCGTACCTCAAGGGTATAAAGTTTTGATTGCTCATGTCATAGTGCTTCAATGGGACTGAAGTTTCTTATAAAACATTGGATGAATGACAAGAGAGAGTGCACTCCAAGCTCACAGGGAAAAGTGATAAAGGTCTTCCTCACTGAGAAACAACATAATTTACTGACTGTCCCTCAGATGAGGAATTGCAAGCAGGATCCCACAGTGGCCTTAAGTTACTGCGTTGCATTGTATGAGGTGTTAATGACAGAATCATTGACTTCCACAGATTACTAAACACATTCTAGGATTCTTAAAATAAATTACTAACACATTAGCATTTCCAGTTGAGATGGTTAAAAGAAATCACACAGGATTCTAGACATGTTCCACAAATGAATTTGATTAGTTTGTTGTGGCTGTTATATTGGATTAAATCAACACATGTATGTGAGCTGGTCAATTAGATGTACAACCAAACACTGAACACAAGTAACTTCATGTTCTGAGTTACAAGTGGACATCAAAAACTGAGAGACTATTGAAGTAGTGTCTCCAAATGAACTCAATTTTTTAAATGTGGTATTATTTTTATCATTTTATGTAAATGTGATCTTGTAATATTTGTGGTCCTAAATGCCAAAAGTTTGTCACAAATAAAAGCGCCTTATATAAGTGGCTTGAAATGATAAACTGAAAACTCTTGTTGATCATGTATCGGTACATACATTTCTAGGAAAAAGAATAATTTACATAATGGAATAATCTTGAAGGATTTTATTTAAAATATTTTCAGATACCCATAACTGTACATAATCAGAACTGATTTAGAAAGCTACAGAAGTGGGTACAAAAGATTAGCCGTAAGTGATTATATTATAAGCTCTTTTAGATACTGAATTTGTCTTTCTGTGTGCATTTGTGACATACTTTAAACGACTAGTAGTGGTAAAAGGATTCCGTATAAACATACATTCACAGATATTAGATGTTTACAACTGGAGTAAGCTTGGTTACTGATTAACAAATCACATTTTGAAATAAATATGGATCATTAGTCACCTGATTGTATTAAGAGTGACATCTGTTCAAATATGTTTTGAGTTTTCAAAGCACAGGAAGAGATTATGTAAATATTGCTATTTAAGCCATATTTTGTATTAATTCGGCCTTGTGTGAACAGGAGGCGGATCTTAAATCTCTTGTTTTGGAGGCTTAACCAAGTAGAAGTACCTTGATTGTGTCTCGGCAATTATTTTTCTTCAAGTGGCTAAGTCAAGAACTTATGTAGTTGAAGGGGCAGGACAGGCAGGCTGTATGGGGCATTCAAAGGTGACATGCATTAACTGTCTTCTCATTATGCCTTTGTGTTTGACCTATGACTTCTGACTCCTTATAAGAAGGTTCTGCAGCTTCACTCCCAGGAATGTCCCAGGCCCAGTGGCTGTGATTTTGAACAAGACAGGTTCATATTTTATTAGAAGCCTTGTGCATATCAGTTGGCTCTGACTACATCAAGTTCGAGATGCTGTAGTGTTTCAGGCTACTCTGGTGGCATTAACTTTCATAGTTTAACCCCCCCCAAACCTCTGAGTGTATAAGGAATCTTGCATTAAAGTAGGCTAGGCATAACTACTACAAGGTGGATAGGTAACTGGCTCAGTAGCCACAAGCACAGGGTAATTATTAATGGGTCCATGTCAGAATGGCAGGAGGTTTCACGTGGAGTCCCACAGAGGTCTGTTCTGGGCCTGGTGCTGTTCAACATTTTTTTTTTTTTTAGCAATTTGGATGCTGACATAGAAAAGCTAGACATTTATAAGTCAGTAGAACCAGATGGACTCCATCTGAGAGTGCTGAAGGACCTGGCTGAGGTCATTGCGGAACCCCTGGCAAAGCTTTTTCAGAATTCATGGCCCACAGGGGAAATCCTTGAGGATTAGAAGAGGGCCAACATTATGACCATCTTCAAGAAGGGGAAGAAGGAGGACCCAGGCAACCATAGGCCAATGAGCCTAATCTCTATCCCAGGGAAAATCCTGGAAAAGCTCATTAAACAATCTATGCGCGATACACTTGCGGAAAGTAAGATTCTGAATGACAGTCAGCATGGCTTTGTTGTGGGTAGGCCTTGTCTTACCAATCTCATCTCCTTCTCTGACTAGGTCTCTCGCCACCTGGACATGTTATATACCTAGACAAAAGGCTTTTGATCTACTATCCTATGATATCCTTGTGGGAAAACTGGAAGATTGTGGGCTCAGCTGCTTGACAGTTCAGTGGGTGGGAAACTGGCTACAGGAAGTGATCCGTCTTGTCATGGCGTGAAGTGGCCAGTGGTGTCCCTCAGGGGTCTGTGCTTGGACTGATGCTTTTCAACATCTTTATCAGTGATTTGGATGGGGAAGTGAAAAGCTTGCTGACCAAGTTCACAGATGACACCAAGTTATGGAGCAATGTGGCCACGCTAGAAGATAGGTTGACAGGAGGACCTGGACAGGCTAGAGAGTTGGACAGACTGGAACCAGATGAAGTTTAACACTTCCAAATGTAAGGTGCTCCATCTGGGGGCAAACAAACCTCAACATACATACAGACTTGGAGGTGACAGCCTGGTTTGTACCACGGCTGAAAGGGACCTAGGGGTAATGATTGACCATTGCATGAACATGAGCCGTCAGTGCAATGCCGTGGCCAGCAGGGCCAACAACACGCTGGCATGCATCAACTGATGCATCTTGTGTAAAACTAAGGAAGTGAGACTCCCACTGTACTCAGCACTGGTGAGACCACAGTTGGAGTACTGTGTCCAATTCTGGGCACTGGACTTCAAAAAGGATGTGGAAAAACTTGAGAGGGTCCAGAGAACTGCCACCCACATGATCAGGGACTTGCAAGGCAGGCCATGTGAGGAAAGGTTGAGGAACCTGGGCCTCTTTAACCTAAAGAAGAGAAGGTTGAGAGAGGACTTGATAGTGGTTTACTGCTATATCAGAGGAGTGTGTCAACTGTTGACTAGGGCACCCCTGGGGAAGACCAGGACCAATGGATATAAACTCCTGGAAGGCCACTTCAGGCTTAATACCAGGAAAAACTCCTTCACAGTCAGGGTGTCCAGAGTGTGGAATAAACTTCCTCCAGAGGTGGTGCAGTCACCTACCCTGGAGGTTTTTAAGAAGAGACTGGGCTAGAGCGGGGGCGGGGGCTGGACCCAATGATCTGGGAAGTTCCTTCCAGCTCCTAACAATCTATGAATAGAAAGCTTCTTTAGCAAGTATGCAGATGACACAAAACTGGGAAAGATTGTGAACATGTTGGGGAATACA